GGGGCCCTGACGTGTCCCCGGGGACGGCGCGCGGCGTCCGGCGTCGTGCCTGTTCCCACAGTTTTTGCCAGGATTCAAAATGGCGCCGCCCGGGATCTGAAGCTCCCGATGCCCTCAGCCAAAATGGCGGCTGCCCGCTGGGGGGGGAAGCACGCTGCCCCTAACAAAAATGGCCGCCGGGCCTTTCTACCCGAGTGCCCTGCGCGTTCTCAGGAAACGGGGATTATGAGAATGGGAGCATGGTGAAGAGATGCTTACTAGCCATTTCCATTTCCCGGGGTGGCTCCTAGTTCCAGTGTGTTTCAGTTGTGTACAGGCAGTCACTGGGGTAGCCCCAAGAAGGGGCCTCGGGGAGAAGCATAGAGTAAAAGGTGGTAGAGAGAAGGACCGTAGTGAGCGACTTTCTGGAGGAAAAAGCCATAGAGCTGGAGGGAGCTGCGTGTCCCCCTTGTGGGCGGGGTGGGTGCGGCAGCTCTGCACTGGCTGCAGCCCCCAGGTCCAGGGGCACAGACCAAGGTCATGGGCAGGACCAGGGTACTGCCTGCAAATGAAGCCATGCCTCATTGCACCGAATTGGGCCCCTCACTGTCTTGCAGATGTCTAGCTCAATGGGATGAGGCAGCGGCGGGGGGCTGTGAGCCACGGGGTGGGAGATGCAACACCGCTGCTCTCCAGGAGCTTGGGTTCATGCTCATTGCAAGATGGATGCATGCAGGTGTGCAGCTGCTGCAACCCTCTGGACCAGACTCCCATCCCTGGCTGTGACCCCTGTGGAGGGCTTTGTGGAAGATGCAATACCTGCAAAAATGTGGCATAATCCACCCTGACAGAGGTCCTGAGTCTCCAGCTGAGAGGCCAAGACATCCTGATCCCCTTCCAAAGACCTCATTGCTGCTTATAAACCTGATGACTTGCAAAAGTACCTACTCCCTGCCTGCATCATGCCAAGTCCTGGGCTTCCAGGAGTTCAAATAGATCGTGGAAGTGTTTCCTCTCCTTCTCATCCCCCTCTGCAAAGCCTATCTCGACAGTAATGGGGGGGCTCGCATAGGGCAGCACTTCAGGCTGCAATACCGCCACAGGGACGGCAGAGGGGGAGTCGCGGTGGAAAAGCACCCGGTGCTCGCTTGGAAAAAAGGGTCCTGTGTAGCTGCCAGACGACTGGTCTAGGATGCAATGCGCTTTTGCAAGCAAAGGCGCTCCTTTCTGCCCTCCAGATGGGTCGGACAGGAAAGCTCGCTTGCTTATGGAAAAGTAGCACCATGTCCCCCAGATCATCTGCTGTTTCGGCAGAGGAGCTGGGCAGCAGCTGGGCAGGGGGAGGAATTGTGCGTGTAAGTGAGACGCGGGGACATCTCTCTAGGGAGGGCCAAATTCCATCCCCTGTGCCCAGAGAGCCCCCGAGTCGCCTGGCTACCAGAGGGCTGGAGGGGAAACCGGCTGTCGCGCACCAGGCAGCGTCTGCACGGGTCAAAGCTGTTGCCAGCATGCGCAGATTGGCTGGAGGTGACTCTTGCGCCCGCGCTCCAGGGGTGAGCAGCTCTGCTCCCCGAGCCAGGAGCGGTTGCAATGACCACTAGCTCTGCACCAGGCCTTTGCAGCTGGTGGACTAGTGCAGGCCTCCAGCAGCTCCGCGCGGCGCAGGTAGGCCCTGCAGGCGATGTCGGAGCCGGGTCTGGCGCTTCCCAGGGGAGGGGATGAGCCACACGGTGTTCAGCACTGGGTGCTCGAGCCACGGCCGTGCATGCGCTGCACAGTCGAAGCCTGCGGTTGGAGGAGGCAAGGGGGCTTGAGTGGGGGGGATGCGGGGTTTCCCTGCCCCAAGCACTAGAGTTGGAGGCGGGTGGGCTGGCCAGTGCTCTGCCAGTGGGGCTGTCATGCCCCTCGGCTGCCCTACCCTGCGTGTCCCCAGAGCTGGTGACGTGGGATCACAGGCTGCCATTGCAGCCCCCTGGGCACTGTGGGGTCTCTGGCAGCATGACTGTCCGGTGCTGAGGCTGTGGGATTTGCAGACTTGCTCGTGCTGCTGCTGCCCGCCGTGGAGAGACCATCTGCTTCCTCCCCAGCATCTGCCAGTGTGTCCAGAAGAGCAGCGCGCTCCCCGCTGCATCTCCGTTTGCCGCGTCGCCCTAGGACCCCTTCCTTCACTGCACCGGTACCCACCGCAGCTCGGCCTTTCCTCTGCATCCTCTCTTCCTCTGCTGGAAGAGGCTCCCTCAATGCATCTGAGCATCGCATTCACCTGCACCGGCACCGCGCTGTGTGGGTGGCCCAGGGTCAGCCTGTGACCGTCACTTCCAGCTGCCAAGTCCCCAGGTCACAACGAGGACTCGCTCAAGTGCCCAAGTGCGTGACTTTCCACCTTGCACTTGATCGCTGGAGTAGTCGAAATGCGGTGAGCCCGGTAGCACGGGCAGCCCTGATGGTGCACAGTGACGTGACCACCCTTGGCGCTGAGGCAGCCTCTCGGCTTTGGGTCCTCCATGGGCTGCTCCAGTCTTGCCTCGACTCTGAGATTTCTGGGATCTCGCTCCTACCTGTCGCCAGTTCGACAGGCCCTGCTCCGGTCGCTAGCTACCTCCTTGCTATTTTAATTCTAGCCTCGTTATCTTCAGTGTATGTGCCTTAACTTGGCACCATGCAGCTGGCATGGCGCTAGGTCTGGACAGGTCTGATCTAACGTATCCTTCGTCCTGAGCCTCTCCCCTGCCCAAAACTGATGAGACATGTGGGTCTCACCCTGGCTGGGGGTATTTTTTTTTAAGCCACTTCCATTTACTGCCCTGCTCCGTCTATTCTTTCCTGCAAAGTTGGTCCTCAGCCTGCCCGCTGGCTAATGCAACCTGTAGCTTTCGGGATTGCTTTCCCCGGTAAGCGCTTGGGTGCGAGGTTTGCTGTTCTCGGATGAAGCAGAACCAGGTCTTTTTCCCCCAAACTTGTCCTGCTCCTAGGAGCAGGCCCCGGCGGCAGCAGGAGCCTGCCTCTGTCCACCTCTTCCCCCCGCCTGCCCGTCTCCGGAGCTGTCCCGGGAATTTAATCCAGCTGGAGCGTGGGCTGCCTGCAAACTCCTGCGTGCTGTTGCTCGTCACCCCGGGCCCCCGCTCTGGCTCCTGAGCTGCCACAAAGCGGAGGCTGCACCCAGCCCTCGGGTGAGTGACAGGACGGGGAATGGGACAAAGGCATTCCCAGCCCCTCACCTCGACCCCATGCTCTGCCTCCTCCCGCTGGCCCCCGAGCCAGCCCGCCGGTGTCTGCATGCGCTGGGGCTTGCGCCGGGAGCCACAGCCCCGTAGGCGGCACCGGGGCTGGCTGCACACAGGTGAGGCGAGGCGAGGCACACCTGGGCGGGGAGGGGAGGATGCTCGGGCTGGGAGCCAGGCAGACGCAGGCAGCCCGGGAGAGGACTGAGCCGCGGCCCAGGGTGCCCACCTGCCGCAGGCACCGGAGAGCCCTGTCACAGGTACCGCTGCACCTGGCCGCAGGGGTGGGGGTCTCCTCCCCGCGACTCTGCAAACCACGCTCTTGATGGGGGCTGAGCCCGCAGGAGGGGCTCTGGGAGTTGTGCTGTAGCCCTGCTGGGCTTGGCCAGCCTAGTCACCTGGCAGTGCGTGGGTCTGTGGGGAGCTCCCGTCCCCAGGACGGTGATGGGGTGGCTGGCGTGCCGGTTCCCAGGGGCCTGGGCCCCCGGCCCGGCTCGCTGCACTGGGACCCTGCACGCGGGGGAGTGGGAAGCCGCAGCTCCTGCAGCCCCGGGTCTGGGGAGGGGACCCTGTTCCTCAGCCTGAGGTGACACGAAGAGGCCCCAGAGCTGGGGGCACCTGGCACTGAGTTCAAGCCTCCAGTGCCCGTGTTTGCACAGCCATGTCAAGGCAGGTCTCTGCACTGCGCTCCCGGCTGCACCTTCTGCCCTTTGCCCTAGCAGAGGCGGTGGCACCAGGGCTTCCCTCTACCCTGTGGGGACGAGTGTCCGGAGATCCTGCGCCCTGGTGCTTTGGGCCCTCGCCCGGGCTGTGGTGCAGGGTGGGCAGATGTCTGCTCCCAAACGCAGCCAGGTGCCGGTGACCCGTGTCCAAGGGCTCGGGAGAGGGGGGATCCCAGGCTCAGCAGAGGCTGCCAAGGGGCACCCGCGCCCGTGCTCTACAGAGGGGGAAACTGAGGCACTGGAAGGGGGTGGCCGAGCTGCCTGATCCCCTCCTTGCTGGTCCTGCTGCTTCGCCCTCCCTGCGCACGGGGCTGCACAATGCCCGTCCCGGGCAGGAATGTCCTCCGGTGTCCATGGCAACGGCTTCCCAGCCCGGGAGGCCTCTGTAAGGGGCTGCTGTGTGCAGGGAAGCGAGGGCTGGTGGGGGCTGAGGGCTGGGGCCTGTTCCCTGCTGGGGGTATTGGTCATGGGGCAGGCAAAAGGAAGGGGGGGGTTCTGCCACTAGCTTCCCCCGTGCCCTTTGCAGAGTCACTTAATTTTGTGTTGGCGCTCCCTGGCTTTCCCCTGTGCGGTGGGGAAGTCATGGGGCAGCTCCAGGAGTTTCCCAGCAGCGTGAGACGGGAGTGGCAGGGGCAGTGGCAGGCTTGGCCCGCACGTGTCTGTGGCAGCCCATGCACGCTTGCGCCAGCCTGCTGCAGTGCCCAGGGGGTTGTACCCCAGGCACCTTCACACCGCTTGGTTGCTGTGGCTTGGGGCTGGGGGGAGCTGGACCCCATTGCCCCAGGTCCCTGCGTTCCCCTCGGCATTGCAGCTGGAGCGCCGAGCCCTGCACCTGGGCCCAGGCTTGCCCCGGCTTGCCAGGCACGGGGGCGGCGCAGCAGCCTGCCAGGCAGGTCGGGCCGTCCCATGCCCCTGCCTGCTGCCTTCCTGCCTGGGAGCGGCATTCCTGGCCCTGCCCCGTGCTCGGGGGCAGCTTGCAGGTCGTGGCCGGGGGGCAGAGACCCCCCCAGCTCGCATCCCCCGGGGTGCCGGTCTCTAGGCACGTGGCCACATTCCTCTTGCCGTGTGCTCCCTGCAGGCAAGCTGACCGCCCGGTGCCATGGAGGAGTGCCCTGCCTGCTGCCAGGCCTGTGCCACCTGCCTGCTCTGTCTGTACAGCTGCCGGTGTGCCTCGGGCAAGAAGAAGAAAGGCCTGAGAACCACCAAGGTGAGCGCGGGGCCGGGACCCCGTTGCAGGTCTCGCGGGCCCCACGTGCAGGCGGCTCGGGGGACGGGGTCTGTGGGCAGGGAGGGCTGAGCCACTGGAGCTCTGCCCCAAGGGGACAGGCAGCCGGCTGGGTCTGGCCCCGGGATGGGGATGGAGAGCAGCACGTCTACGGGGTGGTGGGAAGCCCTGTTCTCGGAGCACGCTGAGCTCCAGCAGCCGCGCGAGGCCGGTCCCCAGCTGGGAGCAGGGGCGTGGGGCTGTGCCAGGCCAGTGGGGTCCCCACTGGGCCCAGCAGCGTCCTGGAGCCTCTGCGAGCGCAGCCAGGCGCGGGGGGGCAGAGCCCTGGGACTCTGGCCGGCCGCCTGTTCCCACGGGTGGGGCCAAGCCATGGCCTGTCCTGTCCTGTCCTGTCCTGTCTCGTCTGCAGCCACGGCTGGGAACTCCCCTGCGCCGCTGCAGCAGCACCTGGCCCTGCACCGAGCCTCGGGGCTGGGCTGCTGCTCACCCGGGTGCTTGCCCCTGGACGTAGGGCTTGCTGCTCCTTCCTCATCCCTGAGGGTCCCGGCTCCCCCTTGCTCAGCTGTATCCGCCAACCCTGCTCCTTGCTCTCCTCCCTGCTGGGCACCACCACCACCCCACCTTCCCCCGGGGCAGACCCAGCCGGCTTGCCCAAACTGCAGTGGCCCCCCGCGCTGGTAGCTGCATAGTGCCCGGGATCCCCGGGATGCTCCTCCACCCCGTGTGGGACTGGCAGGGTCCCCTGACGTCCGTGGCCCTCCTGCCTTGCAGTGCGACTGCAGCTGGTGGCTGCTGCTTCTGGCCGTGTGCCTCTTCACACTCGTCTGGCTCTACTTTGCCTTCGTCCTCCTCAACGACTTCCACAACTTCAACGAGTGAGTGATGGGCCCCACATCCCCTCGGCCCCTGTGTGTGCCCGGCCCCACTGACTGCCCCTCTGCTCGCAGGTGGTTCTTCAGGCAGACGCAGTCGTGGGTGGACTGGTCCCCGATCCTGCTGGCCGCCTCCGCGCTGCTGCTCACCTACTCTGCTCTGCTGCTGGTGAGCCTGGACCCGCTCGCTGGGACCCTCGCGCCGACTGCAGGGGCTGAGGACGGGGGGACGTGCCGGCCTCGCGCTGGTGCAGGGCAGACACCCCCGGCTCCGTGCCCTGAAGAAGGGGCTTCCTGCCCTGGGCAGCTGTTGAGCTGGGGCTCAGCGGGTCGGGGTGTCTGGGGTGCCCCACTCTGCTTTGCCCTTACCCTTGCTCTCGCTGCAGGTCCTGGCACTGTGCCTGCAGCTCTGTGGACAGCCCTTGAAGCTACACTGGCTGCACAAGGTAATGCAAACCTGGGGCCAGGCAGACAGGGCGAGTGCCTGCCCTCAAAGCCAGTGCACCCTGCACCCCAAGCCGGAGCAGGGAAGAAATGGCACCTGGTCCCTGGAGGGTTTGGCCCCAGGGGCCGGAGGACTGGACCAGGGGAGCAGCTGGCATGTGTGGGACGCACAGGGGAGAAGTGGCTGTCTGAGCCCAAAGGTCATAACCGGGCTCAGGGGCTCTGCAATGAGCTGGTTCTTCATTAGGGTGTAAGCGAGTGGGGGTCCCTGGGGAGGGCGTGCGCTGCAGCGGGGCTGGCTCCAGGTGGGTGTTCGGACACCTGCAGTGTCCAGCTCCTTCCCTGCAGATCCTCCTGGTCCTCACCGCGCTGCTCGTGGCGGTCGCCTTCGCGGGGCTGGACGTCCAGTGGGCTGAGGAGTGGCAGAGCGCGTATGTGTCCCTGCAGGTGAGAGTAGAGCGCACGCAGCCCAGGACCTGGCTCTGTCCAGTGGGCGCAGTGGCTGCCTGAACTTGGCCCCAGGCGCAGCAAAGCTGATGCTTCCTTGACTCTCCCTTGTGTCCTGCACAAGAGCGGGACTGGACCCTGTCCCCTCCCCATACCCCCCAAAGCCCGTGTCCTGGGGTGGGCTCCGGTTGGCTTGGGGCAGGTGGAGGTGTGACTGCAGCAGTCGGGCGGGGGAGCCCCAGGTGCGGGTTGTGCAGCAGGATGTGGCTGGGCTGCATCGCAGGCAGCTGAGTGATGCTGGCACTTGCCTCCAGGCCACGGGTCCCTTCCTGCACATCGGTGCCGTGGCGGGCATGACGCTGCTGGCCTGGCCCGTGGCCAGCACCTTCTACTGCAGTAGCAGCACAGGTACCTTCGGGGGTCGGCCCCAACCCTCTGCATGGACCTCCTGTCCTGTCCTCTGAGGAGGGTGCCTGGGGGCCAGAGCCCAGGGGAACAAAATGTGTTCCCAGGGGCATGTTTTGGGGGAGGAGGAATCCATCCTCAGTTTGGGAAGCCAGGTGGGGAGTCACTTCAGTGTCCCCTACTGCTGCGGCTGGGCGGTTATGCCCTTCTGGCCCACCCTGGGGCAGCTGGGATTTTGGGGGATCAGTGGCTGCCCTGAGGCCAGCCTTGGTCTTGCCCTCATCTGAGGATGGAGCACGGGCAGCCCCGTAGGTTGCCCCCATCCGGCAACCCCTGGAAGTGATGGCTCGCCTTGTCCGCGTGTCTGCAGGCCTCCGTGTGCTGCTGCTCCTGGGGTATTTCGGCATGATGGCCGCCCTCTACCTGGCCCCCCTGGCCATCACCTCCCCCTGCCTCCTGGAGGAGAGCCAGCTGCCCCCCAAGCCAGACCTGTTTGGGCACCGCGGGGCCCCCATGGTGAGTGGCAAGCTGGGCCCCTCCAGGCACAGCTATGGGCAGCGCAGGTTTGCTGCTCATCCCAGACCTTGCCGGCGCTGCCTGCCCGGTGCCGTGCTGTGCCACCCAGGCTCTTCTGGAGAGGGCTTGAAAGCAGCCCTGATGGGGACCTGCCCCTCGGCACGTGCACTTCCCCGGCTGGAGTTGGAGCCGCCGGGCCGGGTCTGGGGACTTGGCTCCTTGCAAGCCCAGCCCGAGCTGCCTGTGGGAGCCGTAGTAGAGCTGAGCCCAGGGCCCTGGCCAGGGGAGCGGGCACGCGGGGCCCTCGGCAGCCCGTCCTCTCCCCACGCTAACTCCACTCCCTGCTGCAGCTGGCTCCCGAGAACACCCTCATGTCGCTGAACAAGTCAGTGCAGTGCGGTGTGCGCGTGTTCGAGACGGACGTCACGGTGAGGTAAGGGCATGGCAGCTGGAGGTAGGGAGACGTGGGCATGGGCCAGGCGAGGGGAGCAGGCTGGGATGCAGGGTGCCAACTGCCTGCCTCCGCCAGCGCCGACGGGGTCCCGTTCCTGATGCACGATGCCAAGCTCACCAGGACCACCAATGTGCAAGACAAGTTCCCTGACTCGGCTAACATGAACGCCACCACCTTCAACTGGACCGAGCTGCAGCAGCTGGATGCCGGCAGCTGGTTCCTGAAGGTGGGCTGCTCCAGGGAGGCCACATGGCCATAGGGAGAGGAGCGCTGGGCTCTGCCAGGCATGTGGGCCTAGCTGCTTGCAGCCCTCTGGGCTCCCAGAACAAAGGCACCCTCCTTCCCGAGCCCTCGCGCTCCCCTGGGTGCATCTCCCCTGTGCCTGGCTGCTAGCACTTGGCCTGGGCTGGAGCTGCTGCAGTGCTGGCTCGGAGGTTGGGGCATCTGAGGAAGAGGGGGTGCTGTCTGGCTGCATGGACTGACGGGGCTCGAGGACCAGATGAGCATGGGTACAGGGCAGGGTGGCACTGGCCTCTGCACTCTCAGGCTGCCGGTGCCCTGTGCAGGCACAAAGGGGCACCATGGGTGCAGGGAGAATCCCTCTTCCTGCACTAAGCATGTGCCCTGAGAGGCCAGTGGGGAGGTTCTGGGGGTCCCCCGTGAGCACCTCAGCCTGCCCAGGACAGGCGCTGATACAGAGCTGCCCCTTGCAGAAGAAGCCTTTCCCCACGGTGCAGAGCCTCTCCGACGAGGACCAACGCCTGGCGGGGCACCAAAAGATCCCATCTCTGCAGCAGGTGCTGGGAGAGGCCCGGCAACACAACCTCTCCATCATGTTTGACCTCCGGCCCGAGAACCACAGCAACTATCAGCACTTCATCAACGCCACCGTGGAGACCATCCTCCGGTCTGGCATCCCGCCGCAGATGGTGAGCGCCTGGGCACTGAGCAGGACCCGGCTGCCTGTCTTTTGCTCTTTCGGGGGCAGAGCACTGGTCTTCCCCGTTGGGCAGGGCATGCCCGTGTTGCCTCTGCCTTGAGCCCTCCTGCGTTTGCCCATCACTATTGTCCCAGATACTCTGGGCCCCCCAGCGCAGTCCCCACAAGGGCTGCAGCCTCCATCGTGTCACCAAGGGGATGCCCTGGGGCTGCGGCGTGAGGAGCCTGGGCGTCTTGGTGCTGGTGCAGATCAGTGCCGCCATTCAGAGGTGTTGGGTGCCACTGGCAGGGTGCTGCAGACTGGCATCTGCCCAAACCCTGCAGGAAAAGCTGCAAGCCACCTGGCACATCTGCTCGGCTGCCCCGCCTTCTGGTGTGTAAACAGTGACACAGGGGTTGGGAATGGGTGTGAAGGAGAGCGGGGAAAGGTGGCAAGTGCCCTCCACCTCCCTCTGCCCTGCCACACCCACCCCCTGCAGCTCTGACTACAACCCCGCCTGCATCGCCCTGGTCCATGAGCCCCGGACATGTGCAGGGGTCCCTGCCATCAGGGATCGCTTCTGCAGGCACCCCCCTCTCACCCTGCATCCCCTCTGCCCCTAGATCCTATGGCTGCCTGAGGAGTTCAGGGAGCAGGTCAAACAGCAAGCACCCGGATTTCAGCAGATCTACTGTCGGAAGAGGCTTCAGAACGAGACGGTGCCTCTGCGGCGAGTGAACCTCCCGTACCAGGACCTGAGCATGGAGGACATCAGGTGCAAGCCCGGGGAGGGTGCAGAGCACAGGCAGGGGCACCCATGGGAGCTGAAGGGCTCTATCCACAGGTCTGGCGGAGGGGTGGTGGCTGCTCTGTGGGGAGCTTCCCCAGGCCCAGAGCAGCGCCCGTGGAGAGCCTGACCGAAGCTGGCTGCTGCCTCCTCTGCAGGCTGTACCGCCAGGACAACATTTCTGTCAACCTGTATGTGGTCAACCGGCCCTGGCTCTTCTCCGTGCTGTGGTGCGCTGGCGTTAGCTCCGTGACCACCAATGCCTGCCAGGAGCTGAAGGAGATGGACCGTCCCCTCTGGGTCTTGGTAGGTGAAATGGCCCGGCCACATGCTGGTCAGTCCTATTACCCACCCCTGCTGCCCCGAAGCCAGGCCAAAGCCTCCTGGCGCGTCCTCCATGCTCATCGCCCAGCAAGGGCATCCCTGGAGCCTGCGTGGGTCCTGTCTG